GTGAGTGAGTGAGTGAGAAAGCTGCCGTAGCTCAAGGCCCGTTTCAGTGCATCGTTCTCCATGTGCACGTACACAAGCACACACGCACGCACTGCCTTTACTCGAGCTGACTTGTTTGGGTTCTGTTGTGTGGACACGCCCCCTTGGCATGGGGGGCTGGTGGGGGGAAGGGTGGGCTTTGAGAGAGACGGTGGCAGCTGGCCAGGGTACAGCATGAAGGGAAGTGGACTTCGAGAACACTGGTTCTCAAATGTGCCTGTACACGGGAATCCGTGCGGAGTTGTGCGACATACTGAGGCCTGGGTCCTACCCCCAGAGACTGTTTCTGACGCGGACTGTAGTCTGGGCATTGAGAGTTTTAACAGTTTCCCAGGTGATTCTAATATGTGACAAGTTTTTTTTTTTTGTGGGAAACCCTGCTTTGGAATGTTAATTGTGGGTGAGAAGGTCCAATTCTAGAATGATTTCATTTATTCTAAGAACAAGAGATGATGACATCTGTGGTTTGAAGTCTCCTCAGAGTGTAGAGTTACTTTCCTCCATAAATCCCCAGGTTCTAGGTCATCGAAGGCGTTGTATGTACGCCAGGAAATAAGCAGACGCCAAAGCAGATGGCTACTGGCAAGCCCCATTTAAATTCTGCCTGATAACAGATACTATAATTTGTTGGCAAATCCAGTGTATTTTGCTTTCCTAAACATTTAGAACTGACAAAGGATTATATCACTTAGAATGCAGATTTTATCTTAAGGGGGTTTATCAGCTGAAAAGTCTAGTAGCTAAAGAATTAATTACCGTGGGGCTGGCCCAGAGCTCACAGCACTGTTAACAGGCTGCAGAGTGATTCTGTTCTGGGGCCAGCTTCCCTCTCTGAGGTCTGATGCTGGATCACCATGGTTAGCCTTGTGGTCCAGGTTTCCGGTGGGGTTCCACCTTCGCGACCTCCTCTAAGCCTAATTACCTCCCCATCTCCAAATGCCATCACAATGGGAATTAGGGCTTCAACGTATACATTTTGTGGAGACATGAACATTCAGTCCACAGCAGATTGGACTCAGTTGAATTCCAAATGTCTTCCTCTTGGGTAGATTCATCTAGTATGCACTGATATGGCCTTGCCCATGATGACAGTATTAGAAATACTAGTCAGGAGTGACTGTCCCAAGTTCCTAAGTGCCTTCATTCCTGCCACCTTATCTACCCTCTTTCCTTCCCTTGCCAGCCTTCTCCACAATCCGTCAGCAACCTGCTCTGCTGTACCTGGCGTCTATTTCTGACTGTCACATGCCATAGTACATAGTGTGACCAGCACGCCTGGGCCTGGCAGGTAGGACACCTCTGTGCGCTCCCAGGCTGGGGGAGAGAGGGGAGGGAGGAAGCGATGAAGTCAGCCTCAGACATCATGATCTGGAGCCTCTCCAAAGGACATCATTTCAAGGTGTATGGGCTGCTTCCCAGGGACCTGCCTGGGTGTGCGTGGGTCCCATGCGTTTTGGACTTTGCTCAATGCGTGGCCAAGGGAGGGTACGCGATGCTAACTAATCTGTGAGTGTGAATTGGGTGGTGTAGCCCCAGATGTAGCTGTGACCAGCTATGGCTGCTCCCTCTTTTCTCCCTGAGACTTCTTTTGTTCTCTTGGATGCCTTGTCCCTAATCTGTGATCCTCACCCTAATTTGGGGATGGGCCCCTGTCCTTCTGCTCCAGACCTTCCCCCTCTGGGTGACCACCCCCCTCCTCCTCTATGGAACCCAGGGTCTCTCATACCCCACCTCTTCCCCCAGGAAACACGCTTCCGTCAGCCTACCTGCAGGCACCCAGGGAACCCACTCTATCTCTGGCTGATTCCCAGGCTGTTCTGTCCCCTGATCTCCACGGGGGTGAGGTGGAACCAGGTGGTCCTGGGCAAGGAAGCCCCCGTGTTCAAGTCACCTCATCCAAGGGTCCTCAGCACATCCTCTCCCGTTCTGGGAGCGGGAGTAATCCAGAGATAAGGAGCAGCCCTCTGGGGAAATGAGGGGAAATGAATCTTTGCTCTTTCTTTGATGTTCTTTCTGCCCAGGCAGTTAGAGCCAACCAGTGAGGCTGCTCCCTGAGCTGTCAGGAGACCAGTCAATTGTACACCTTCCTCCAGGGTTCCTGGAGTCCCGTGGAGAGAGCATTCACCCCACCTGTCTCCCTCCCCCTTGCAGAGCTCTTTCAATTGTGCAGGTAGTTAATCAGCAAAACTTCAGAATTCCCAGATAGAGTTATTGTCACTGGCTGAAAGGGGACAGGTTTTCTGCTTGAGTAAGAAGGCTTGTATCACTCTGCTTGCTTTTATACCCAGAGAAAAGTTGGGGCAGTCAAGGAGTTGTGTTCAGCCTCACACATCCTCAGCAATAACTGAGTTCTCCGGGTGTCCCTCTTCCGAGGGAAGACAGCAGACTGCCGAGCCCTGGGGCTGCAGAAGCCGGGCACTTGCTCTGGACCACTGCTGCGCTGAGCACGGAACAAATCCTTCTGGGAATCACTGCTCTGCGTCATATGGGGTTCTAGAATTTTAAAATCTTTGTCAACAACTGTGCCACATATTTTACCTGATGGCCTTTTCCACCCTCACCTGCCCCCACCCATTTTCTAGATTGTGACAGTCTTTGCAATCCAGGATGCTCTGGTTGCTCAGCACCCCCTTCCTCTTCCAGCCGGCTGGAGCAAGTTTGCTCATCCCTGTGGTTCCTTCTTCCCTTCCCAGTGGGGCTGAAAGCGCAGGTCCTGGGATTGGCCAAGGGGATCACCTCAGCTCTCCTGGCTGAGTCACAGCTGGGTCACCAGCCTGGCTGCTGACAGCGCAGCAAGGGCCCTCCCAGGGGGACTCCAGACAGGGCAGGGCCACAAGTGCCAGGCTTCGGAAAATCCAATTCAGTTTAGTGGGAAATATGATTGAGTGAGTGTTTTGTCCTTATGACTTGTTTGAAAAAATTCCCCCTGTAAGTCTGGCCTGCTTAGATGTTGTGCCGGCAGGGCACTTGTCATCCCCAATGTGGCAGGCTAAATTGGGCAGCTATCAGAGTGCAGCCAGACGCTGCTCATGGGTGCTGACTCGGGGACAGGGCCAACCCCAACCCCAACCCCACCTTGCTCCCCAAGTTCATCATTTGTAGAACGAGTGCTTTGAAGACTGGGTTTTCTTATGTTTTCAGACCTCCAGTCTCCGAATTTTAGTATCAATATTTATATTAAACACATCTTCACGTAAGTGGCCCAAAGTTGGGCTTTGCTTCCAGAAAGGCTTTCCATGAAGGGTAGACTTGCTTCTTGACCCCAAGGCCAAGGATGCACCTAAACTCTGGTGTCCGAGATACCCCGTGGAGGAATCTCATCTAAAAACAATGATACCCTTGCTCCATTCTCTGAAATAACAGCAGGGGAAGGGGCGCCTGCCTCCCTGGGGACGGGGGCTGCCTAAACGGGAGTTACGTGTCCAGGTGGAGGACATCCCCTCATGGCCAGCTGGATAGATGGTGGTTCACTGGGACAAAGCTCCCCAGGCAGATGACCCCAAGCTGCTATCTAGAGCCAGCCTGACTATTCCAATGAGCACCAGATGCCTTCCGACCTCTCCTCTGGGATGGCTGGAAAGCACCTCAGACTTAAGAGAGGCCAGAACTGCACTCCTGAGTTTCCTGCCAAGCCTTCATCTTCCTGTTGCTTCTGCATCTCAGTAACGAGCACCACAATTCCTTGGTGGTTTAAGCTCCAGAGATCTCACCCTTGATTGTCCTTTCGTCATATGCCACCCCCACCCGACCCTGCCTATACATCAGGCAATCTGTGGTTTTGCCTCCAAAATAGATCTGAAGTCTTTCCACTTCTCATGACCACCCTCTGTCCTGGTTTCCCGCAGTAGCAGCCTGACTACTCGCTTCCACTCCTGCTTCCTACAGTCTGTTTTCCAGTATCTCAGAGAAGTGATTTTTATAAGTGTAAATTAGATCATGTAATTCCCAGGTTTGAAATCCTTCTTGGAATATCTAAACTCCTTGACTTGGCCTACAACACCCTAAAAGTCTGGTTCCTGGTACCCTTCCTGTACGCCCTAGAGGGCTGCCTCTGGACCTTTACACTTGCTGGTCCTGCTCTCTAGAAAGCTCTTCTTCCTCCCCTCATCTTTGTAGGACTCCAGTGTTTCTTGTCATTTAGGATTTCAGTTCAAATGTGACTGCTCCTGATTATCTGATCTTAATCATTAGTCATCAGAGTTATTTTGTTCACTATTTGTCCTGTGCCTTGTCTGCCTGCTGGGGAATGGAAGCTCCAGGGGGCAGGGGCCTCTCTCTCTTGTTCAGAGCTACAGTTTCCAGCGTCTGGAACATAGTCCAAGTCTTCGATTAAATGAATTAAGGAGGCAGGAGAGCTTGGTCATGCGGATAAAGTGGTCAACGTCGAGAAGCTAAGTGCAAATGGTAACATGGCCACCCCGGCTGCCACGTTGTGGTTGAAGACAGGAAGGCCGGGTCAAAAGGATAAGGGATGCGCCCGGCGACAGTCGGCCAGGCCCTCGGGGGTTCCAGGCTGATTACCAGGCTGCCCCTACCATCGATTTTGCACACCCAGCATACTCCGAGGCTTCGGTAAACGTTAATCTAGTGTGTTGAATTAAATACGACTTTGGCTTTTGGGAGGAAAATCAGAAACTCGGACTACGGTACCACGCCCCCAAGAAAGCTAAGGTAGGCGACGAGGAGGGTCTGGTGCACCCGACCTGAGTACAGCCGCCCCGGGGCACGCGGGCCCTGAAAGCGGCTGACGCGCCCGCGCCTCGCGAGGACCCTCGCGCCGCCCCTAGCTCCGCCCCCTCGCGCCGCCCCGCCCGCGGGGCCCGGTTGCTGACAGCGGGCGCGCGGCGGGCCGGGTGTTTGCCTACAGGGCGGCCACGCGCGCGGCGCCGCGCGGTGAGTAGCTTTCCCGGCGCCGCCTGCCGCCCGCCGGCCCCAGCAGAGCCCGCCCGCCGCCGGGGGAGGGGCCGCAGCCCCGGGGGCGGGGGGCGAGAGGCGGGGCCGCAGTGGCCCTGCGGCCGCCGGCCTACCGGCGCGCGAGGACCGCTCTCTGTCCCCGCCGCTCTCGGGACGCGGAACCGGGAGGAGGACGGAAGAGCAGCCTTCGCGAGCATCCCTCGGGCCTTGCTTTCGGAGCGCCCGCGTGCAGGCTGACCTTGGCCGCCTGGCGGACCGGGGTGGGGCGGACCCCGCGGGACCCCGGAACTGCGGGACCCGCTGCCGCCGGGCAGGACCGGTGGGTAATGGTGCAGCCAGCAGCCTCTGCCGAGCGCGGGTAATTGTGTGAGAACGTCGCCGGGGCTGCGGTGGCAGGGGGGTGGGGAGGGCGCTTAGGAGTCGTGCTTTGCAGTTGAGGGAACTGAGGCCCGGGGAGGGTGGCCTGCTTACCCAAGGTCACACAGCTGCTGGCGGGCAGGCTGCACCCGGGTTGGCATCCCAGTTCCGGGATTACAGTCCGGTCCTCCTTGCCGGGCCTCTCTGCAGCCCCGGGGGGAGCCAGGCCTAGTTAGTTCTATCAGACGCCCCTGCGGATCATTTTATTTGGGGAAGGCCTGGAAAATGTAGGGTGAGAAGTCATGTTTTGGAAATAACTTTTCAGTGCTATAGGCTAGAGTGTGGGTATTCGGCTGATTTGTGTGGAGGGTAGTTGCCGGAGAAAGCAGATGTCAACTCTATTTCTTATCGCCAAACAGGAAACCCGAAGTATAACAACTGGAAGTATTCATTTGGAGAGTTCTTAGACCCGGTATTTCCCCAGGATAGGAGGAGTGTTTTAGAAAAAAGATGAGCTTATAAGAGTTTTTTTTTTTTTTTATTGGGGGTTATGGTGATGGTAATTGTGCAATTTACTGTCTATTTTTGTTCCACCTTTTGGATCTTATGAATTAAAAGTAAGCAAAAAGGGAATAGAGAGTAATTGAGTAGATACACTTAAAACTTTTTAGCCCCCAGAAACGTTGGAAGATCTGTTTTGTTTTATGGTTCTGTATTTTGGTCATGCTTCATATTTGCCAGCATTTGTTTTATTATTGAACATTTTTGTGAAAGGGCATGTGTTTTGGAGCTTTTATTCCTGTTTGTATGTGGGGCCATGCCTGGATAGAGTGCTGGACCTGAACTTGGGTCTGGGGGCCTGGGCGCTGGTCTGAGTTCCACCTTTGCTGTGGGACCTCCACAGCTGTGTTCATCATCGCAGGCTGTGTTATCAGAAATCGCATCACTCTAGGAAAGAACAGGCTGCCAGGGGGCAAACTGGCTGAGTCTTGTCGCTGGGGAGAGAACTTGAGGGTTCAGGTAAGGGGCTTAACATCTGTTGGTCTTAGGGGACACGGGATGGCCAAGCAGTCAACGCTCGGTGGGCTGGGGGTTGCTGGCCTGGCTGGGCAGGCCAGAAGGAAGTCTCTGAGCCCTGCCCTTTGCCCAGTCAGCTGCACCAGGAGAAGGGAAGGGCAGGAGATGGCAGGGCTCTGAGGCTGGTGCAGAGAGCTTGGCTTTGTATTACACTGGCCACTTACTGCTGTATAACTTGGGCCAGGGACTTAAATTATCTGAGCCTTGGTTTCTTCATCCATGAAATGAAGAAATAATCATACCATTGACAAGATTATCATGAAGATTAACTGAGATACACAAGCCCTTGGGGCAGACTGTGAGCTCAGTGACTCACTGCACTGGGCATTATTTTAAGGGACCCATGTAGAGTTGGGGCAGTCCTGTCAAAGGCTGGTCTCTGGGCTGTAAATCACCCCCCGGCCACTCCTGCCACCCCTCTCCCATCGAGAGTTGGCCTCTTCTGGATCCCTTCTCTGCTGGGTTCCAAGGGTACCAACATGATGGGTGAGGCTTGCCCCAGGGGAGGCCTGCTGGAGGGGGCAGGGTACGCTGGTGGGGGTGGCTTTGGTGCCTTTGGCCCATTTTGAGAAACAACTCAAAGCTGGGGTCCAGTGGGGACCTAGGCTGGTGGTTTCATCTGTTTGCACTCAAACTTTGTCAGTGTAACCAGCTGTGAGACTTTGGAGCTGTAGGTACAGACAGGACACACGAGAGGAATATGGGAGATTGTCAAGCACACATCCTCACTGGCAGCCCTGGGACGAGTTCCCTGGGAAGGGCCAAGCTGTGCTTTGTTTTATTGAACTTTGGCCTAGCTTATTATGGGATAAGCCCCCTCACTTAAAATCAGACTGGGATGTGTGTGTGTGGGGAACAAATGAGTTGAGCAAAGCCTATAAAACAGCTCATCAATGATCTGACAGGTTCTTAATATACAGAAGACCCCAAATGCCAATTGGAGGGCTGTTTCTGAAATGTTAGCTTTCCAAGCTGTGAGCTGAGGGTTTAGAGAGCAAGGGGCCCAGCATCTGCTTTTGTGTGTGGTAGTAGGTGCAGTTTGTGGCAATTTAGGACTATGAGTATTTTTAAAAAAGTGAAGTAGAATACAAAAAAATACATTATCTGACTGGACACAGTAATCTTAGGTATTGTTTTGTGAAAACTTGTTTTAGTTGTGTGTGTGTGTGTACATGTGCTTGCAAGTGCACTCCGGTAGACAGAAGAAGGATGGGGTATGAGAGTGTTGGGGTGAATGGGGAGGGGCCATTTAAATCAGATGTGGGCTCAGGGAGACCCAGGCCTCCTCCTGGCTACAGAGGCTCCTTGGGGGGGGATGGCTCAGTGTGGCCGGGCCGTGTCCACTGTCCAGCAGAGAGGTTGGCAGGAAGTGGATGGGCAGGGCTCAGTCCGAGAGGAGCTGGGAGCTTCTCCATGCTGGTGATAGCCATATCTCTCAACCCACTCACCAAATTTTGTGATTTTTGCAACAACTTAGAATTTTTGCTGGTACAGAATGCTGGGGCCTTCCAGAGAGAAGCTCAGGCTATTAGAACAGTTATGGCTCTGTACCAATTACGTTTGCTCCTGAGTGTGATGCACTTGGTGTTACTCAAAGCTGACTACAGGCCCTGCTATATAGAGATGCATCTATTTACCGCCACCTTCTGGGACACAATGAGCACATTTTCACCATGTGCTGTTTCTGGGAAGTCCCTGTGTCTCCTTGGACACCGTCTCTTTTTTGGTGGAATCTTCTGCATTCATAGGTCTCAGTAGGCATATTCCTTTAGTTTACAAAAGTCAAGATACAAGGAACAAAGGCGAAATAATGGGGCATCATCACCCTACAAGGCGCTCTTCTCGGTACTTACTTTGGCAAGAGCATTCCCTGCCAGTAAACTGTATGATCGTAGATTGCTGTTCAACCTTGGGATTGCCTTTGGGCTCAGATTTTTTGACAAATGGAAATATATTACCACTCTGTTGGAATATAAACATATCCTTCTAGTAATTTAGCCAGTGGTAGTTTTTGCCCTGGTCTTTTTTGGCAGGTGCAGTGTGAATAGATTGTATTTGCAAAGGACTCTCAGGCAAGAGCCTTAATTCAAAGTCCAACCTTTGTCTAGACCCATTTGTGACACCAGGATTAGCACCTGGCTTTCATTAGGTGTGCATGCACTTTGAAAGTACTTTATGTATACCAACAATCTTAAGAGGTGGCCGATGTTACTATCATCCCATTTTATAGACACGAAACAAGTTCTGACAGGTTAGTAGCTTGCTCATGGCCGCAGGTTCATCCGTGCTACATTAGCTGTCTGCCTGCAGAGTCTACATTCTTCTGCCCCGAGCTGTAGGCAGCACCGCAGGCTTTGGGTGGCATGTAGCCCTCGTGAGCTGCTGGGGTGGAGTTGTGGGGTGGGGCGGCGTGCACGGTGGGGGATCATTTCCAAGTAGAAATCACAAATGTACGGCATTCTTTTTGACCAAGACACAGACTTGGACAGAGAGGATGCAAAACCCTGTGCTCACTTTATGAGTTAAGTAGGAGCCAGAGGAAGGGGGTCTCAACCTGGGGCTGTTTTGCCCAGCACCTTGGCTGCCCTGGATGTGGTTCAGGCGCCTCCATCCCCCACTGCCCAGTCCTTACATGCTCCTTGGCAGGGGCCTGGGAACAATCATCACATGGGACTACAAGATCCAAGCATTTCAAAATCTCACTGCCCGAGGAGTGGAGCAGTCACCCACCCATCTGACCTTTCCAGCCAAGGCTGGAGCCCCCCTCTCCCCTGCTGTCTCAGCAGTTTCAGTGATACAGTGACCCTGACACTGAGCAGGCCACAGTTTTCCATGCCTCACACAATTCTCTGAGCCCACTAAAAATTAATCTTAAAGTAATGCAGGCACATGTAAAAACCAAAACGCAGACCCCAACACTATGGGAGTATTTATAATGAGAAGTGTAGGTCTGCTTCCCTTCCCCAGGCTTGGTCCTCAGGGTGAGCCTATAGGCCTTGTTTGGTATGTAAATCAGTCTACATTTCTTCCAGTGCATAGCAGAATGTATCATGTAATTCTTAAAAAAATGGGTTCATGTTATAAATACTGTACTTTTTTCACTCAATATATATACCTTTTCATGTAGCATTTCTGGTACTACCTCTCTCCCTTCCTGTTTTTTTAAAAGCAGGTTCACAACATTCCATTACATGGTGTGGATGGTCCATAATTGATTTAACCAGAGGGCTTTATACATTTAAGTCATTTCTAGTTTTCCTTGTTTCAATCAATGCCGCAATTACTGTTTTGTACATGGGACTTAGAGCACTGGAATTGCTGCGTCCACGTCCATGCAAAACCTGGCAGCTATTGCTAAATGCTCACCCCCCTGTTTACTATCAGCAGTGAGTGATGACTATTTCCCCGCTGTCACCAGCTGTGCCGCCATTTTTGTGAAATGCTTTTAATTTGGACCCCCTGGAAGGCCTCCTTTGATTTGCCTAGCTTAAATTATGAGTGGGCTTGACTATTTTCTCATGTATCACTGACCAAGTGAATTTCTTTCTCCGTGAACTCTCTGTATTTTGCCCATTTTTCTGTTGGATTGGTGTGAGGCCATCTGAAACTGACCTTAATATGCTAGAGGTGGTTGGTGTTAGCAAAACTGCAGGGTTATGAAAGCTATGGCTAGGGTTTTGAATTTTGGCAGAAGTTCCAAGAAAGCAGTACTTCTTGGTGATTTGTGAAGCCCGGAGAAGGCTTTTGCCAATTTTGGGTGAAATGCTGATTTTTCTGATGTAACAACTAAGCGAGAAGTCATGAGATCGCCATCACTTCATGCTGACAAAGTGTTAGCGCTTCCTTTCTGGAGCCATGAACCAGGGGTAACTCATGCTTCTGCGCATCTGCTGTGGGCAGGGGTTGGTTGGACAGATTAGCTGC